AGTTCCTAATAAAGGCAGAGCCCCAGGTCTGCACTCTCCCTATACCTGCAACCTCACTGTGCGGCCCTTGGATGCACCATGTGTCTTAGAGGATCTGTAATAATGGCCATTCTTCAAAGTTCTCTGATGGTCATTGCTGAGGTATATCTTGAAGTCATAAGAACCATGGGGGCTGATCCAGCCACAACTTTGGTCCCAGTAGGGGAAATGTCTGTGAGGCCTTGCTACAAGGACTATGGGCTTGAGCAAGTGTCTCGGGCATTCCTTTTTTTTTTTTTTTTCCCCTGAGAGAGAGAGAGAGAGAACAAGCAGGGAGGGACAGAGGGAGAGGGAGAGAGAGAAGCTTAAGTAGGCTCCATGCCCAGTGCACAGCCTGATTCGGGGCTCAATCTCACAACCCTGAGATCATGACCTGAGCCAAAATCAGGAGTTGAACACCAAAACAACTAAGCCACCCAGGTGCCCCGTGCCTCAGGCATTCTTAGCCAACAACATCATTATCAATAGGCTGGAAGTAACGGGACATCTAATATTACTGTAACTTTGGTTTGTTACTCTAAATCTTGTTTTCTACATTTAGAAACAAATTAGTCTCTTTTAGAGACTAATGCATTTAAAAGATTATTAGCTTGTTTTGGGACACACAACGTATGAAGACATAATTATGTGACATTAACAACCAAAAGAGGTTGATACAGAGCTGTAAAGGTGCAGTTTTTGTATGTTATTAATTAAGCTAGTATAAATTCAAATTAGGATGTCAAATATAATCCACATGGTAACTACAAAGAAAATATACACAAAGGGAAATGAGAAAAGAACTTAAACATTTCCATACCAAACAAAACCCAAAAAACCCCCCAAAAAAACACTAAACACAAAAGACAGTAATGTAGGAAGTGAGGGATGAAAAAAAATCCATAAAGCATATAGAAAGCAAATAACACAATGATAGAAGTCCCTCCTTATCAGTAATTACTTTAAGTGTAAATGGATTAAACTCTTCCAGTCAAAAGACAGTGATTGGCAGAACGGATAAAAACACATGATCCACCTTAATAAGATCCAAAGACACAAACACGTTGAAAGTATTGGGGGGAAAGAAAAATTCCATGCAAAAAGTACCAAAAGAGCAAGTGTGACTATACTAATATCAGACAAAATAGACTTTAAACCAAAAGACTTGGACGAGCCAAAGCCATCCTGACACAGAAGAACAAGGCTAGAGACATTTCCCCATTTCAAACCATATTACAAAGCTATAGGAATTAAGAGTATGGTATCAGCATAAAACCAGAAACACAGATCAATGGGACAGAATTGAGAGCCCAGAAATAAACCCATACATTCATGGTCAATTAATATTTGAAAAGAGAGCCAAGAATGCTCAATAAAGACAGTCTCTTCAATAAATGGGACTGGGGAACTGGATACTCACATGCAAAAGAATAAAACTAGACTCCCCTCTTATACTACTCATAACAATTAGCTCAAAATGGATTAAAGACTTAAATAAATGTAAGACATGAAAACATAAGACTCCCAGAAGAAAACACAGGCAAAAAGTTCTGGCAATGATTTTTTTTTTTTTTTTTTCGCATGACACATAGAGTACCAGTAACAAAAGCAAAAATAAATAACTGGGACTATATCAAACTAAAAACTTCTGCACAGTAAAATAAATGAGATAAAAAAATGAAAAGGCAACCTATGGAGGAAGAAAATATTTACAAGCCACATACTGGATAAATGGTTGATATGAAATCATAAAACTCAATAGCAAAACAAACAACCACCAGATAATCTAATTTAAAAACTGGTAAAGACCTGAAGACATTTTCCCACAGATATTCAAATGGCCAACAGGTACATGAAAAGGTGTCAATATCACTAATCATCAGGGAAGTGCACATCGAAACCACAGTGAGATATCACCTCACACCTATTAGAATGGCTGTAATCAGAAAGACAAGAAATAACAAGAGCTGGTAAGGAGGTAGAGAAAAGGGTACCCTTGTACACAACTGGTGGGAATATAAATTAGTGCAGCCACTGTGGAAAACAGTATGGAGGTTCTTCAAAAAATTAAAAATACCACTACCATATAACCCAGCAATCCCACTTCTGGCTATATGTCCAAAAAATAAAAAATGAAATCACTATCTTTAAGAGATATCAGCACCCTCATGTGCATTGCAGCATTATTTACAATGGCCAAGAAATGGAAATAATCTAAGCATCCATCAACAGATGAAGGGATAAGGAAAATGTGGTGTGTATTTTATGTTGGAATATTTATATGGAATATTATATATAATATGGAATATTGTTCAGCCATAAAAAATAAGATAAAATCAAATAAAGGGCTAGTATCCAAAATCTAAACCAGCTCTTGTTATCAAGAAGTTATCAAACTCAGGGGCGCCTGGGTGGTTCAGCCAGTTAAGCGTCTGCCTTCGGCTCAGGTCATGATCCCAGGGTCCTGGGATCAAATCCTGCATCAGGCTCCCTGCTCGGAGGGGAGCCTGCTTCTCCCTCTGCCTCTCCCCCTGCTTGTGCTTGGTTCTCTCTGTCATGTAAATAAATAAAATCTTAACAGCAACAAAAAAAAGAAGTTATCAAACTCAACCCAAAAAACCAAAAAATCCAGTCAAGAAATGGGCAGAAGACACGAACAGATGATTCTCCAAAGACATACAAATGGCCAACAGCCACATGAAAAAATGCTCAACATCACTTGGCATCAGGGAAATACAAATTAATCCTCATTTTTACTGTCCTGATCCTTATATTAGCTTAAGGTTTATTCTGTTTTGTCTTATAGCTTCTTGACCAGAAGGTTCAATTTTTTTCCCCCTAAGGTTTATCAATTTCTTATGTGCCAGACACAATAAAAGAACGGGGGACAAAGTGCTGAACAACAAAAGAAGGTTCTGGTCAAGGCAATCTTGGTTTCTTATATCTTATATCCTATCTTTCTTAAGGATATTAATTCTGTACAGAGTTTAGCTCCAGCCACATTCCACAAGTTCAATCATGTTTGCATTTTAATGCAATTCATTCCTGAAAAGTCAATTTCATTTTTAATTTTCTATTGATTCAGGATTTAAATACACTTGATTATAAATTTTCAGAGGTGACAGTCTCTCCACAGATCTTTACAGTGGAGATCTTTACAATGGTATCATCTTATCCAAATGATCAAACTTAGTTTTACTAACAAAGCAATGACCTGTCCCTTACATGCTTTCTGACTTGTTGCAATATGACATACAAACATAACCTACAAAGTGTTCTCCCCTTAAAACATTTAATCTGAACCTAATGGAGCCTCTAGACCCAATTTCCTTTGTTTTGTTTTTAAAGATTTCATTTATTTGACAGAGAGAGAGAGAGCACACGCAGGGAGAGTGGCAGGCAGAGGGACAGGGAGAAGCAGGCTCCCTGCTGGGCAAGGAGCCCAATGCAGGGCTCGATCCCAGGACCCTGAGATCATGACCTCAGACACCCAGGCACCATCCCCCGTCTCCTTTGTACAGAAAATACAAAGGATAGAAGGTGGCTAAATGACACTATACAGAAACATAAAATCTAAACAAATGGCAGACAATTTTCCTGGACGTCTCAGAAATTCTGTCAACATTATTTAAGAATTTTTGAAAAAAAGAAATGTTCTAGATCCGTGGCTCTCTATAGTGCATACCAAAATCCCCTGGAAAGCTAGAACAAACACAGAGGTTCAGTGGGCCTGGACCTTTGTATTTTTACTAAGATCCCCTGATGATTCTGATACCCAAGAAAATGTGAGTCACTGTTGTAGACTAAAAAATAAAGAGCGCTAACAACCAAATACAGTACAGAATCTGGAATGCATTCTACTTAGAAGATGAACCCTTGTAAATGGCATCTTAGAGGCCAAAGAAGAAACTGATGAGATAAAGATACTGTGGAATTATGGAAAATTTCCTTAAGGGTAATTATGGTACTATGGCTATATATGAGGTTGTCTTAATGTTCGGGAGATACACACTGATGTAATAAAGGGGAAAGTATCCTGGTGTCTAAAACATATTCTCAATGGTACAACATAAAATATACAGAAAAATGTCAAATTGTTAACAACTCTGAATCTACAAAGGGGTATATGGGTGTTCATTCTTTCAACTTTTTCATATGTGCAGCAATTTTCAAGATAAAGTTGAAGAATATATAAATGGATAGGTTTTATTTTGCTATTCTTTTACTAATATTTATCTTAGCTCCTGGACAGAGAAATAAATTACACATTTCCTGCCAGTTGATATTTTTATAGACAAATCACTTCAAATGAACTCTCCCTGATTCTTGAACATTTCCTCACTCACTAAATCCCTAGGGTTTCTTTCCAAAATTAACTTTTTGATGTAACTTAAGGAATGAACTCTTAATGAAAATCCTCTCGTATTCTTTACTTCCCATGAAATCTTATACAGAACAAGTTATTTAAAATTTAATAATTAAGGAATGGATGAGGTTTTTCTAAATTATTCACCAATAATGCAATTTCCCTATCACCAACAATGCTAATGAAACATAAAAGCTGTTCTTTATGAACACAAGCATGTGCCAAATACTCTTTTAAGGATTTTGTGTGTACTAGAACACCTTTATTCCCGTAATTGCATTAGTATGTACTCACTTTTGTTGCCATTTACAAATGATGCACAAAGAGGATAGGCACCTAATGTCACACAGGTAGTGAAATGGCAATGGTGATAAAGCATCTGCCTCAGGTAGACGTTAGCTTACATTTGTTCCAACAACAGTTTTCCTCCAGTTTGAGTTTGAAGGTTTTTCTAAGTGTATGAAATTAACATACCTAGGAAAATATCTTTCATGATTAGTAAATTGTGAACATGAAGGCTACTCTGTATTTCTTTATATTCAAACTTTCTCACCAGAATGTCCTCTCAACACTAAGGTGTTTGCTGTGACTGTAAATCTTTCCATGTCACTCATACTCAAAATTCCTCACCAGTAGGAATACTGTACTGTTGAGCAAATCTCATTCCACGATGAAAGGTCTTCCCACATTTTTTTATACTCATAGAATTTCTTGCCACTATGAACTCTCTGATGTTAAGTTGTTCATATCCAGTGGTTTTCCCACATTCCTCATATTCATAGGACTTCTGACGATTATGAATTTTCTGATGTCGAGTAAGCTGACCATTCACAGTGAAGGCTTTCCCACATTCTTTACATTCATAGGGCTTCAGACCTGTATGAATTCTTTGATGGGCAATAAAAACTGACCTAAGTCTAAAGGCCTTCCCACATTCCTTACATCCATAAGGTTTCTCACCAGTATGAATCCTCTCATGCTGAATAAGGTTTGAGTTACAACTAAAGGTCTTTCCACATTCTTTACATTCATAGGGTTTCATACCTGTATGAATTCTCTGATGAGCGGTAAAGACTGAACTAAGTCTAAAAGTTTTCCCACATGCCTTACATTCATAAGGTTTCTCACCAGTATGAATTCTCTGATGTACAGTAAGTTCATAATTATTGCTAAAGGCCTTTTCACATTCCTTACATTCATAGGGCTTCTCACCAGTATGAATTTTAACATGTTGAATAAGGTTTGAGCTACGACTAAAGGCCTTCCCACACTCCTTACATTGATATGGTTTCTCACCAGTATGAGTCCTCTGATGTACTCTAAGTTCGCTACCACAAGTAAAACATTTCCCACATTCCTTACATTCATAGGGGTTCTCACCAGTATGAATTCTGTAATGTCCAAGAAATTGGTAGTGATGTCGAAAGGCCTTTCCACATTCTTTACATTCAAAGGGTTTCTCACCAGTGTGAATTCTCTGATGTACTCTAAGGTCTATACCACGACTAAAGCTCTTTCCACATTCCTTACATTCATAGGATTTCACGCCTGTATGAATTCGCTGATGTTCAATAAGTTGGTACTGATGTCTGAAGGCTGTCCCACATTCCTTACATTCAAAGGGTTTCTCGCCAGTATGAGTTTTCTGATGTCGAGAAAGTTGTAGGTGAAGTCTAAAAGCCTTTCCACATTCTTTACATCCATAGGGTTTCTCACCAGTATGAATACTCTGATGTTGAATGAGATTCGAGCCACGATTGAAGGCCTTGCCACATTCCTTACATTTAAATGGTTTCTCACCAGTATGAATGTTCTGATGTCGAGTAAGCTGTGTCAGAAGAGTAAAGGCCTTTCCACATTCCTTACATTCAAAGGGTTTCTCCCCAGTATGCATTCTATGATGTTCAATAAGTCGGTAATGATACCTAAAGGCCTTCCCACATTCCTGACATTCAAAGGGTTTCTCACTAGAATGAATTTTCTGATGCTGAACAAGATTTGAACCACGATTAAAGCCTTTACCACACTCTTTACATTCATATGGTTTCACGCCAGCATGAATACTCTGATGTTGAACAAGGTTTGAGACACGATTAAAGGACTTCCCACATTCTTTACATTCAAATGGCTTCTCACCTGTATGAATATTCTCATGGCGATTCAGCTGGGTGAGAAGACTAAAGGCTTTCCCACATTTCTTACATTTAAAGGGCTTCTCACCAGTATGAAATTTCTGATGTCGAATCAGTTGTATATGGAGTCTAAAGGCCTTCCCACATTCTTTACATTCAAATGGTTTCTTTCCAGTATGAACACTCCGATGTTGAATAAGGTTTGAACCACGACGAAACATTTTCCCACATTCCTTACATTCATAAGGTTTCACACCTGTATGAATTCGCTGATGCTCAATAAGTTGGTACTGATATTGGAAGGCTGTCCCACATTCCTTACATTCAAAGGGTTTCTCACCAGTATGAGTCTTCTGATGCCGAGAAAGTTGCAGGTGAAGTCTAAAAGCCTTTCCACATTCCTTACACCCATATGGTTTCTCACCCGTATGAATACTCTGATGTTGAACAAGATTCGAGCCACGACTGAAGGCCTTGCCACATTCCTTACATTTAAATGGTTTCTTGCCAGTATGAATGTTCTGATGTCGTGCAAGCTCTATCAGAAGACTAAAGGCCTTCCCACATTCTTTACATTCAAAGGGTTTCTCACCAGTATGAATTCGACAATGTTCAATAACTTGGTAATGATATTTAAAGGCCTTCCCACATTCCTTACATTTAAAGGGCTTCTCACTAGAATGAATTTTCTGATGCTGAACAAGATTTGAACCACGATTAAAGCCTTTCCCACACTCTTTACATCCATATGGTTTTATGCCTGTATGAATACTCTGATGTTGAACAAGGTTTGAGCTACGATTAAAGGACTTCCCACATTCCTTACACTCAAATGGTCTCTCACCTGTATGAATATTCTCATGGCGATTCAGCTGGGTAGGAAGACTAAAAGCTTTCCCACATTCCTTACATTTAAAGGGTTTCTCACCACTATGAAATTTCTGATGTCGAGTAAGTTGGACAAGAAGTCTAAAGGCCTTCCCACATTCCTTACATTCATAGGGTTTCTCTCCAGTATGAATACTCTGATGCTGAATAAGATTTGAACCACGACTAAAGTACTTCCCACACTCCTTACATTCATATGGCTTATCTGTAGTGTGACTAAGAGAAGTATGATGAGTAGAAGTATGCATCTTTTCATAGCTTATCTTTTGAGTGATATACCCCTCTTGATGTCCCTGTTGTCCCCTAAATCTATTTCTGCATTTTGAGTCATTTCTAAAATTGGAGGTTTTAAGGTCAAGAGTTTTACTTATTTGCTTTATACTCTGTTTAGGCAAATTTATTTCATGAATATCATTTTCTGGAGATAACTTCTTAGCTCCATAATTTGACTCCAAATCTGAAAGAAAAGGAGAAAGCAAACACATTTTATCTTCCTGTACACACATGTACAAAATCCACTAAAGAATATATAACTCTAAAAATATACATACAGAAGAAATTTTTTAAATATATATTGAAGTATACATAATACACTTTCAGAGAATTTGAAAAAGGATAAGAAGAGCTCCAAAAATGAAGAAAGTTTGTTAGATGGTGATGCTCATAATAGGGGAAGAGATTAACTTTGTGAAATTTAGGTGTTAATCAAAATCCTTTGGTAGGCTTGTTACAAATATTGATATTCAAGCAACTCAGATGCACAGAATCAGAATTTTTAGGAATAAGTCATCAGATGCTGTATTTTTAACATCTCTATCAGATAATTCTGATGCAGATCAAAGTTCAAAGATCCATACTTAAAACTGTTTTGAATGGTTTGTCTTTACTCTTATACTAAAATCCAAAACCCTTACCATGGATAACAAGACCACCTATGAAGCCACTGTCATCCTTTGGACCCTATCTCTACCACACTGCCTTCTTTCAGTGCTTCAAACATGATATAACCTTTCTTCAATATCTTCATGCTTTGGTCAGACTGTTTTATCACCCAAGAATCCTGTGGCCTGAGCTGCTTGTAGGAGACAACATTCTCATTTTTAAGACTGAAAAGAAATGTCTTCCTCAAAACAGCTATACCTGCTGGCCCCATCTAATTATATCCCTCTCCTTTATTCTCTATTCAAGAGTCTCATTCCTTGCCTTCACAATTCTGTTTTAATTATACGTTCATTCATTCATTAGCTCATTTCTCATTCTGTGTATTATCTTATTCCTAAATCTGCCCAGGAGCAGACACAATCCTGATAGCATTCACCACTGAAATAAGAAGCCCATAGCACACAACAGGTGTTAAGTAATTGGAAAACTATTGATAAAAGAAGTAAGGCTGAGAATAAAGGTATATAATGCAAAAATGAGGCACTGGGAAAGGCTTATCATAATAATCATTCATTCAAAACTACTAAAATTGATAAATAGAACCATTCTCATATTACTTGTTTCAAATGGGAACAGATGCGTATGTGAGCCCAACTGGTCATGTACATGTCACAATGGGAAAACAAACCACAGAAAACAGGTAGAAACTTGAAGCTTGAATCTTAACTACGTTGACTGCCTGCTGAAATATATCACAAAGTTAAAGAAAATCAACAGATAACAACATTGAGATGACAGATGTTTGCATTACCTGACAAAGACTTTAAAACCATAATTGTGCAAATGTTTCAATAAGCAAACACAAATACTCTTGAAACAAATGGAAAAATAGAGAATCTCAACAAAAATATAGAGGATATAGGGAAAGTTCTGAAAAGATGGTGGAGTAGAAGGATCCTGGGCTCACCTCCTCCCACAGACACACCTAGATAACAGCCACATCAGTGTAACTATGAAAATGACCTGAGAATGGCAGAACAGACTTCCCACAGGCAATCGCAGAGAGTGGGGTGGAGATGCAGTTGGGAACGAAACCCCAGTAAGAATAACCACAAACAGGAGGGACACCACAAACACAAAGAAGCAAGAGGATCAGATTCCACACCAGGCACCCCAGGTATGGGGGACCCACACTGGGAAGATGAGCCCCATTACATTTGGTTTTGAAAACCAGTGGGGCTTAACTCTGGGTACTTCAGTAGGCTTAGGTTCTGGGAGAGCCAGAGGGTGACAGGAAACTTGAGTCCCTATCCTTTAAGAGCCAGCATAACAACCAACCTGCTGAGAAAACAGCAGAGAAGCAGCAGTTTGAAAAGCGCCTAGGGTATACATGAAGAACATTTATTTACTAATCTCAGAATGTGTGCTGGAGGGATGGAAATCTTTAGGAAACTTCCCCAAGAACAAAAAAGCTGGTGGAACCATTCCCTGCCCACCCCCAACCGCTGCCTAGATAGCTGGAAGCTTTAGGGAACCAGTGCAAACACACAGCACCTACCTTGCTAGCACTGCATGCCCCACCTTCACATTCTCCTGAGGATCTGCCCCATCCAAACCACCCCACTCTGAAGGGGCTCCAGCCCCAACACACCACGCAAGCAGCACCAGTCGGGACCAGTGCCACTCCAAGGTGACTCTCGCTTTGTGGAGAGTGGAAAGATAACCACACACACCGGTGTGCCCACAGTTCCAGCAACTGAACCTTATAGTTAGCAGTACAGAGAGTACCCTGCTGATCAGTGCGACTTCAGCCCTCGCAGATGGATTAGGAGTAGGCACTTTGACTGCCAGCCCTGCCCACCAGTGAACAACGGGACCTGCCCCCTCTCAGAGGGCAAAGCAGGGAGAGTGCCTTGCAAGCTGGTACAACTACAGCCCCAGCAGACAGGCTGAGAGCAGGCATCTAGTCTGACTGCTGACACCACCGAACTGCAAGCCCCCAGTGGTCCCCAACAGACCCCTTAACAGCACAGAGACCAAACCGTGCCCAGAACAGGCAAAGTGGGCCATGGCAGCCAATGGGCTGAAGGCAAAAGAGGTTCTGCCACAACAGCAGAGCACAGGCAACCCACATAGGAGACACCCCTGAAGCACCTGGTTCTGGTGAATGACAGACACTGTACCCCAGGGCACCACAGGACCTTCATAAGGTCACTACTTTCTTTCTTTCTTTTTTAAAATATTTAATTAATTTATTTGACAGAGAGAGCGAGCACAAGCAGGGGGAGCAGCAGAAGGAAAAGGAGAAGGAGACTCCCTGCTGAGCAGGGAGCCTGATGTGGGGCCTGATCCCAGAATCCTGGGATCATGACCTGAGCCATAAAGGCAGACGCTTAACCAACTGAGGCACCCAGGTGCCCCGAGGTCACTACTTTCAAGATCAAAAGCTGTAACTGACTTTCCTAATACACAGAAACAAATACAGTTGTATAAAATGAGAAGACAGAGGAAAATGTCCCAAACAAAAGAACAGGACAAAATCACAGCAAAAGGGCTAAATGAAACAGAGATAAGCAATGTATCTGATAAAGAATTCAAAGCAATCATCATAAAGATACTCACTGGACTTGAGAAAAGAGTGGATGATCTTAGTGAGACCTTTGAAAACAAACAGTAAATATTAAAAAGAACTAATCAGAGATGAAAAACTAAATGACAAATAAAAATACACCAGAGGGAATCAATAGCAAATTAGAGGAAGCAGAAGAATGGATCAGGGACCTTGAAGGTAGGGTAATGAAAAGCAATCAAGTTGAACAGCAAAAATAAAAATAATAATAAAAAATGAGAATAGATTAAGAAAACTCAGCAACATCAAGTATAATAACGTTTGCATTATAGGGATCCCAGAAGGAGAAGAGAGAAAAATGGGGCAGAACATTTACTTGAAGAAATAATAGCTGAGGGGTGCCTGGTTGGCTCAGTCAGTTAAATGTCTGCCTTTGGCTCAGGTCATGATCCCAGGGTCCTGGGATCAAGCCCTGCATTGGGCTGCCTGCTCAGCAAGAAGCCTGCTTCTCCCTCTCCTTCTGCCTGCCACTCTGCCTACTTGTGCACACGGTCTCTCTCTGTCAAATAAATCAATAAAATCTTAAAAAAAGAAAAGAAAAGAAAAGAAATAATAGCTGAAAACTTCCCTATCTGGAGAAGGAAACAGATATCTAGATCCAGGAAGCACAGAGAGCCCCCAGTAAAATTAACCGAACAAGGTCCACACCAAGACACATGGTAATTAAAATGGCAAAAAGTAATGATAGAGAATTTTAAAAGCATCAAGAGAAAAGAAAAGTTATATACAAGAGACACTCTCTAAGGCTATTCTGTTGATTTTCAGCAGAAACACTGCAGCCAGAATGGAACAGCATGATATATTCAAAGTACTGTAAGGACTGCAACCAAGAATACTCTACCCAGCAAGACTATCATTCAGAATAGGAGCGATAGTCTCTCATACAAACAGAAGTTAAAGGAGTTCATCACTTAAACCAGCCTTACAGGAAACGTTAAAGGGAGTTCTCTGAATGGAAAGAAAAGGCCATAATCAGGAGTAAGAAAATTATGATAGGAAAAAATTTCACAGGTAAATGCAAACATATAATAAAAGCAGTAGATTAATCACTTATAAAACCAGTATGGAGGTTAAAGCACAAAAGTAGTAAAATCAATTATATCTATAAAAAATCAGCTAAGGGAGTCACAAAATAAAACGATGTAAAGTATGACATCATATGCATAAAATGGAATGGGGGGATTTTAGCAACCACCAACTTAATATACACTGCTATATACATAAGATGTTATATATGAACCTAACGGTAACCACAAATCAAAAACCTATAATAGATACACAAAAAAATAAAGAGAAAGGAATCCAAGCATAACACTAAAGAAAGCCATCCGACCACAAGGGAAGAGAGGAAGAGAAGAAGAAAGGAAGAGAGAACTACAAAAACAACCATAAAACAAGTAACAAAATGGCAATAAGTACATATCTATCAATAATTACTTTAAATGTAAATGGCCTAAATGCTCCCATCAGAAGACTATGATGACTGAATGGATAAGGAAGCAAGATCCATCTATATGCTGCCTACAAGAAACTCACATAAGGCATAAAGACACATGCAGACTGAAAGTGAAGGGATGGAAAAACATCTACCATGCAAACAGAAGTGAAAAGAAAGCTGTGGTAGCAATACTTATATTGGACAAAATACACTTTAACATAAAGATTGTAACAAGAAACAAAGAATGACATTATAT